TTTTTTTTTTTTTTTTTTTTTGTACCGGGGATCAAACTCCGGGACTTCTCTATTATTTAGAAAACACTACTGTATTCATGTTTTCTTTCAGGTGTTCAAGCTGGTCTTCTATACATGATAGAACCGTTCTCCGATCCCTGCTAACATTTTAAAAAGCAGTCTCTACTTCATCTTAGTTTCCATCAGCTTTCCAGGTGTAGAAAGGAAGCACCTTAGGCTGTAGTTTCCATAGTTTCCCCTGGAACTCTTCCAACGGACAGACCATTCTGGAAATCCATCAAGAATGCTCCAGCACAGCATTATGATTTGAAAATCTTTCTTTTCCTGTCTCCATGACACATTAATTGGTCTTTACCCTTCAATGTCCAATTTCATCTTCTCAGTGAAGTTTTTCATGTGTTATCCTATTCTTATTTGAGAATTCATCCATCCTATTTGGATAAGCAAAATCAAGAATGTTTGGAAATCTGTCATTATGAACCCTTCATTCTCAGGCTCAAAAGGGAGAGAAAACAGATGATTGGGCTTATAGAGGCATTTTAAGGTGAATAGATAGGACAGTAAGAGTTTTGTTGAACTTTCTCGAATTTCTCATTGCACAGTTGTTTGGATGTCAGAAAAAACTAGAGTAGCCCCAGTTTGATTAATATAAACTTAATTGCTTTTACAGATACAGGACAATTTATACACTCTATTTCTTCCTGAGTCTGGTAGCATCTGCCTCTTTAGCAATTTGTTAATTTCATATAAGTTGATTGTAATATACTCATTGTTCTTTAAATGCTAGTGGCAATATAAATCAAAATGAAGGATAGACTCATGGACTATCTAGAGATGTTTCTTTTGCATCTGTAATATTGACAATCAGTATCACCCTCTTCTCCCTCTTCCCTCTCATGTACTTTATTAAGCTGAAGTTTTATTAATTTTATTGCTCTTTTCAAACAAGCAGGCTTAGTTTCATTGATTTTTTTAAAAAATAATTTCCTGTTTACACATCCATTGTTTTGTCTTCTTATTTCCATTATTTCCTTCCTTCTACTTATTTCAGGTTAAGTTTACTCTCATTTTCCTAGTTTTGCGATCATTTCTTCTTTTCCAAAATAGGCACTTAGTGTTATAAATTTCTTTAAGCACTGCTTTTGCTTTATCTTCCAAAGAATATTTTAATTTTTCTCATGATCTCTTCTTTGACTCAGATGATTTAGAATACATTACTTAAATTCCAAGTATTTGAGGGGTTTTCAGGTCACTTTGTTATTGATTTAATTCCTGCTATCCAATTAATCCTGGATTTGAAGTTATGACTTTGATCTTCATCTGTAGGCTTTGATAGTGAGTCCTCTTGGTATCTGAGCCCTGAAATGTGCCCTTCTGCTTTATTCCCTACCCTCTTGTCCACCAGCAGTCTCCATGACACTCATGTAGATGTGTCCGCTACCCTATCTTCTACCTGTTCTGATAGAGAGGGAAGCAACAATGGCAAATTTGAGAGTAAATCAAGTGGAGATTAATAAAAAGATTGCCACAGTGGGTTAAGGGTTTAGAAGTGACTAAATAATGCACAGAGTATAGTGAATGGCTTTAGAAATTCTCTGTAACTTAGGAAGGGGGCACTGAAAATGTATAATGGGATTTTACACCAATTTAAGAATTAACAGAGTTGGTAGAATCACAGTATAAAGAACTCTTAATTGTCAGTAAGACTGTCCTTTGTCATAACCCCACATTTCTGCACTTATCTTCCCATTTCTTCCATTTGCTTCTCCGTGCAGGTAGCAAAAGTTGTATGTGAATTAGGTATTCTCTTTGATAGCAGAGTCACAACAGATAATGTGATTGAGCTTGGTAAAGATGTAAACTCCATTCTTTATCAATGATTACAATCACATCTATCATTCATACATCCTCTGTATCCAGATATTAATTTATTAATTAAAATTATGATCAATATAGCCTAAATTATTTATCAATATTCACAGTTTAAATCCAAGTTAATATGAATTAGATATGAGAATTAAAATAAGAGAAACATTTTAAAGCCCTTATTATTTTTTTAGGTACATACTGCCATATCTGTAGGTAAACTGATAGATGTATAAAAATCAAAATGCAATTACTTTATTGATAGAGAATTTTTCAATTAATCTCAAGTGAACAGCACATGACAGTACACTAATTTATCTATACATGTGGAGAAGTAAGTCAAGCAAATAGGTCCTCATGTCTATATCCTTTATATATAGTCTTTAGGTGAGTCATGTAACAATACATAAATAGGTCAATTCACAGAACTTTGCCTAATTTGAGTAAAGCTATGATTTATCTTCATGGAAGCAACATATTACAAAATATATCTGTTCTGTGCCATTTGGAGTTAATCAATAATCACAGGAGATGTTTAAATAGGAACT